TATCCCGGTAAGACACGTTGCGAAGTACAACCGATCGATGCACACAGTATACACTACAATCCCACGTCCACTGACGTGGCACCCAAAAGTGCATTAGATAATCGACACGTCAATGAAAGAGGGCCCACAAGGCTGTCTGTGTGATTTACATGATGACGTGTACAGAATCTAGAAACGTGTCTACTCTGGATTTGGTTGGTGTTGTACACCAAATCTTCCTTAGATTTCTTTATCTCTGGTAATATAATATAATAATATTTGGTTTCAGTCAAGTGGGAAAAGAAAAAAAAAAAAAAACTACTATAAAATTAGCCATATGGTTCTTCCATTATCTTGAATACTCCTAGTCGAAATATAAGAATGAGTGAATAAATTTATTTTATTTCTACCGTTTAAACGTTTAAATGAAGTGGTTCGATAAGATTTAAAAGAATAAAGATTATAAATTTAGTCTTGTCACTAGGCCTGTAATGGATAAATAATAGATTTTGATTACATTTATTCAATTATAATTTATTCGAATTTAAGTTAATTAAATGTAAGTAAATATGATTTTATGCATGTATCCATAGTAAAATCAAATCTATTACATGAGGGGGAGAAATGGAAGTGACACTATTCGAGTAAAGGCTATCAAACCATTAAAGGCTATCATAACCTTGAGAGGTTGCTCAATTGGTCAGATCTTGGGTTTGTTCCACAGTGGTCATCAGTTCGTGTCCTCTCAGGACCACTAAGGTAAACCCGACCGTAAACTTCAGGGTCCCGTAAGATTAGTCAAGGTGTGCGTAAACTAGTCCGAACATCCACGGTTATAAAAATAAAATAATGAATTTATCATATAAATTAGTTGATACTTTCCACAGGAGTTTGGTAAAAGTCTTTGTCACGGTGTCTCGATTTTCTTCAAATTGTGCATATATGTTATAATTAGAGTAAGGATGTTGTTCAATTGCAAATTAAGTCAATAAATTGTCACTTTCATGTTTGTACACAACCTACAATACATAAATCCCACAAATCGAACATATAAATCTTGTACTTTAGTGTTGCACTTTCATTAAAAGCACCCCAAAGTCCTAACAACACATTAAACCGACAAAATATAAGGATGTAAATTGGACCATGTTAGACATGTATGACTCACTTTTATTATGTTGAGCTTGTGAAGATTGAAAACGTCCACGTCTAACGTGTCAATGCAAACACATGAAAGAACTTCATATTTTGGCAGTCTAACAAGTCCGTTCATTTTAGATCGTGTACAGTCGACGACTTGAAAAAAAAAATTAAAATTACTCCACCAACAACCCAACTCTCCTTCAATCTTCACCGTAAATTCTAGACCCATTTGAGTTGCAAATTATAGACACGTTTCGACACGATTCAACGTACTTTACAGCTTTTGAGTTTAATCGAGAACATTGAGAGAGGGGGAGAGACATCCACCTATCAACCTATATATAAAAATGAATCTTGCTACACTTATACACTTTGATACACAATCCTCTCACATATGTGTGGGTCCCACAATGTGGGTCCCATTGTGTGGACCACACACATGTGTAGGAGGATTTTGTACCAAATTGTGCACCAAATGTGTACAAGTAGCATTTTTGTATAAAAATACAGGAGATCTCATCATTTTTGAGTCTCTCTCTAACAAAAATCTCCTATATTTTCTCCAACTTACAAGCACTTTTTGCAGTGCTTTTACGAGTCATTGGACTAAAAGTTAAGGGCCCTTGTTAGAGCATAAGGATTCTGGTTTGGTCAAAGACTTGAAAAAAAATTCTCTTAAAATTCAGTCAAAGTCTTTAGTCTTTAGTCCTTATTCTCCTAAGAATGTCATATTCTTTTTTCCCTAAATTCCGGGCGGCCTTAAAAGATTTAGACACAAAGCGCGTTATAGAAAATTGTGCAAAATTCTAATCGACTAAAAAATATGCTAATCATTCCATGTTCGATATTTTAGATTAGATCTGAAAAAAAAAACTAGTTGTATCGAAGAGTTCTGATTAGCTATCTTTTACTTATTAATTTCTCTGTATCGATTCATATTAAAAAAGATAAAATAAAATAAATATATCGAGATTAAGTTTTGGAGTTTAACTTCACATTTTTGCTTCTTGGTTTTAACTAAAAAAAAAAGGAAGAAGAAGCAAATTTCCCAAAAAATTAATAAAATTAATAATTTTATTATCAAAATCAAGTGGGATCACATCTTTTAATATGATCATTGACTGACTTTTGTAAGAAAGTTTCCAAAACTATTTTGTCCTAACCTTTTCCCATCATATATTATTGAAAATTCTTTTGTCTTTAGATAATGAAATTTTAAGCTTCATTATTTGAAATGCTAAAAAAAAAAATATTATCATGGGATTGTGTTGTTCCCAATGACATATAGGCATGTGAGGATTAATCAACTAAAGGCATAAAGTTAACAGCTCCATGTTGGAATTGCTAATTAAATTGATTAATTATTTCCACACTAATTATACTTATTTGAGTAATTTGATCTCTGTGTTTCTTAAGCCTTTGATTGCCCTTTTTACAATAGCCTTTTGGGGTTCTTTTTGATGAGTAATGTTAAACGGTAATTTTCATGACGCGTCAATATCAAAATAATAGGGTTTGGCTACTCTTTTTAATAATGTATACGTGTTAATTAAATATAAGATCGTACTCGGTTAAATCATATTTTGGAAAATTCAAATGATCATTTGGTTTGTCTAGAGCTCGAACAAGCTACTACTTTTCAAGATTGATTTTCCTAAAGAAGTCAGCATGTAGTGACGTGTTAAAAGTGAAAATACATTTCTCTTAAACATTAAAACAATACTCAAATGTATAATTTATTTTTTTTGTTACTATTAGAAATACTCAATAAGATGTGAACTAATTGTAGGTCACATGTACAAGAAAAAGGATGTAGAGAAAAAAAGTGGAGATAAATTATAAAAAACTAAATGAAGGCATTCTTCAATGAAGATAAATTAAAAATTAAATGAAGGTTGTCTAACACTCATTTCACATATGGATGGTGTGTTGACACTCTTCCCCTTTTTCTTGTCACGTAAGCATTTTGGGGGTAATGTTTGATACACCTTTTGGTGCAATATACAATCAAATATGACTCTGTTTGATTGCAACATTTTTCATGGAAAGAGTCATATTCGAGGAAAATAAATTCCACTTTGATCGTTTGATTGCAACGTGGAAATGGAAGTCGAATTCCAATGTACAATCACTTTAAACTGTATTTTCTTTGGTTTCATGAAAAACGAATTCCTATGGATTTGATGGGTTTTTGTTTTGCAACTAACATGAAATTTGAATTCTTTTCCACCTTTGTCTATCAAACGGACCCTAAGAGATATTATCATGTTTATGAGATTTATATTCATATATTCAGTAGTATTAGATTTACACGTATATCTTTTTCATATATATCTAGTCATATTCAGTCCATCAAATTTTATTTATCGCATCTTCATTCAATATTCATGGGTTTATTTTTTCAAAATTTTTCCTTCAAATAGAAATGATTAAGTTGAAGTGGGTAAGTAAGATAAAACTACATCTACTTATTGAAGAATAAAAATATAATTAATGTTTGAAGCCTACATAATAATGACAAACAAATTGTCGCTAAAACTTTTGACTTAGCGGCGCTTATGAAGTACAACTTTTTTTTTTCTTTGAAAACCTAAAATTGATGATGTTTCCACTTTCCATTAATCTTAATTCTTGGGTTCATCATTTTTTCCATTAGAGAGAATTTTTAACTGCCCCCTTTGAAAATTATGAACAAGACAAAGATTTTTGATAAGATTACTCTTAATTATTTACCATAAAATGCGGATTAAACATGTGACATATCACACATAATTACAAGAAAATTGCAGATTTCAAATTCTTGAGATTTTCAAGAAAAATACAGACAAAAACATAATTTTATTTTATTGTCCTTTTGGATTAAGAAATTTGTTGCTTTAATTTAATTCCAACATTCCTCAATAGGGTTTCTCTAGAATCAGAAATTTTGAGCATGCATGTGAAATTATCTAGGAGTTGACATGAAATGTCCTTATCAAGTAGGTTTTTGCTTGGATTTGGCTATTGGTTTTTAGCATATAATAATGATTATTAAATTCATTATGCATCCATCTTAGTTACGTACAATTTAACTTGACACCTACCCATCCCATGGAATTTTCATTTTCACCCTTGGCTCCCTTGCCTACGGCAAAATGATATATACTCCATAAGGGGATTTTTTTTTTCTTTTCTTATTTTTCGTTTGTATAGGGGACAAGCGATGAAAAGATAGAGCCGTAACGAGAGGTCGGGTCTATTGTCCCGAATATGTTGTATCATCGAGTATCCCACCAATATATTCTTGACATCTCGATGCACCACTTCTTCATAGGAAATGGAAAATATCAAGGTATAATGTGCTGAGGTATCAAAAATTGTGTTGACGTATTCCCATTTGCTGTGAAGAGCTGGTGTGATAAAATGTAAAAATGTATTAATAGAGGGTACAACAAATGAATAAAAACTTCAGAACGTTAGATATGGACTCGTAACAAGATAATCTAAGTGGAAAAACATATGAAAACTCTTGAATTTTGGTAAAAAAAAAAATACTTCTAAAAAGTACAAATTGAGAAAAAGTAACTTTTTTATTAACAAAATCCATATATAAACAAATTACTTGACAGTGAAACTGTGAAAGTAACTTTTTTTTATTAAAAATAATTTATTCTCTTTCAGTGAATGGTATTTCAGATCCCTTTGTCCTCTGTCCACTGTCCATGATCCTTAACTAGTGTCTTTAAAAGAACCCTTCACAGCTTACTTACACTTCATTCAAACTCAGATTTTTCACTTCCTCATTTGCTGCAACATTCACATTTCCCACTAAATTCCTCATCTATCCTAAGTCAAGTTTCTACTTTCTTCTAATAACAATTTTCTTCATTTTTGCATCAATGTCAAACCCTAAAGCTTCCGAGAAACCCTTAAATCTCTTCGAACCCATCCTTACAGATACCGGTTTCACATTTTTACAACGCAACACATCAGTAGCGCAACCAAGCGAAAGACGAGGCCGGAAAAAGCAGGCGGAGCCTGGGAGGTTTCTTGGCGTAAGACGACGGCCATGGGGCCGATATGCAGCCGAAATAAGAGACCCCACCACCAAGGAAAGACATTGGCTGGGAACCTTTGACACTGCTCAAGAAGCTGCACTTGCCTATGATAGGGCTGCCCTCTCCATGAAGGGCACTCAAGCAAGAACTAATTTCGTGTACTCTGATCAAACAACAACTTTTCATTCTCTTTTAACACCTAATTATGATCTTCAAATTCAAGCCTTTTTGCAGCCACCATCACAGTTTTCTACTGCCACGGAACCTAAACAGTCCAGCTCTTGTAATCTGCAGCCTGACATTTTGCCTAGAAAAGACCAGAAATCAACTGTCCAATTGGATAACGACACATGTTGTCATGATCAATCTTCTTATGGTTCATCATCTAATGATGATCATAATTTGTTTCTTTCTACTACAGACACAAATTCTGGCTACTTGGATTGCATTGTTCCTAACAACTGCCTGAAGCCATATTCTGCAACTAATAAAATCAATGGGGACACTTCAAATGATCAGAAATTTTGCTCAAATTTGAGTTTCTCTGAAAATCATGGGACATTTTATGAAAATAATCCACTTTTTCTTGATTCTACAAGTGTTGCAACTGTAGGATGGAATCCTGGAAATCATTCTTACTATGATGAATTTGTGGACGGGTTCTGGCCAGATGGTGATCGAGAGTCATGGGACTTAAGTTCTTGTGAACTCCCCCACGTTATGAACAACCCTATAGTGGTGGAAAATGGATGCATGGTAGACTTGAATCCAATTATAAGTGAAAATCCAAGTTTTGAGATGATGGTGGCTCCAGCCTGCAGTAGTACTTCAGCAGCACCAAGTTGTTCATCTTTATATCCCTGTTTTGATGATGCAGTTGACTTGGGCTTTTCTCTCTTTTGAATGCTGGTTTTGAAGTTAGTATGTTATACGAGCATGTTTGGTATACAGTACTGGACAATATAGTACAATACAACGGAAAAAAAAGTTTATTTCATTTTCCTTTGTTAGTTGGGACCTCCCAGACATACCATGCAAGAAACCTTCCAGGCTCTCTTTATATTTTGCCTTTTGGGGAATGGTAACTAAACTTGGGCAGTTGGGCTTCAAAAGATTATTAGAGAGGTTGATTTCTAGCTTCTCCAAAAATGAGTATATTTTGAGTAAGTTTCATCAGCTAAACTACTGATATTTGGCTGCTGCTTGAATTCCAATGTGGCTTTTCTCTGCTCTTCTATGAGTGAGCTATAGAGCTCAACGAGTGTCCTTTCACCGTGTTTCTAAAGCATCGAGCCTAATTTTTCCCTTCAAGGGATGCCACTGATTGCATGCGTAAATATCGAATTCTATTACTAGTCATGTTATTCATAAATTGGTCTAGAGCTTCGACAGAGTCGTGTAATACGCTATATATTAGCAAACTTCTATTTTGTAATTCGTGACAGAAAGATTGTCAAAGCTAGAACTTTTTTCGTGGTTCGTCTATATTAGCTTCTTTGGGATGTTATCATCAAAAACTTGTTAATGTGCCGTCTATAATTTCAGCACGACGTGCGAGCATAGCCAAAAGCTCAGCTAGAATTGACTCATTTTGGATACGTCAAAATTTAAGTACTTGTTCTCATGCTCCTGCTAGAGTAGAACACTATAATTGCGATCCCTATTGCAATGACATTATCTTATTATACTTGCAACCAAACAAGAGGTACTTCAACTAGCCAAAATTGGAAAGACATACTAATTTGCCTAATATTGAATCATGGTACTTCAACTCAACGTTCAACAGCTATAAGAAAGATTTGGATCCAGTGAACTAACTGCTCTAACCTAGCACAATAGCCAACATAAGAAAGGAGAAAAGAAAACCATACTACTCCCTACACCCATTTTCTGCTTCAAGCTTTACCAATCCTGTGCAAAAAACAAATTCAAGATTTTCCCAGTCATCAAGGCATTCGAGCATTCTTTAGATGACAACCAACAGATCTTTAAGATGCATCACCATTTAACAAAAACAAACACAACAAAGAGCAATACTTGCCAAATTCAAGATTTTCTCGTCTGTATTGGTTGATATAATATAAAGAAGCATTCGAGCAATTCGTTTGTCTACACAAGTATATATCTTACATATGACGTATCAAATTCTTGCAGTCTCCAGATTTATCATTGCTTCCGCAACAAAGGACCAGACAAAATAAGGGATTAAGAAGACCTTGAAATTCATTCCCTAGACAATTTTGAAGCTTGTTCCGAAAGAGGGAACAAGAAGATGGTTATCAAGACAACCACAGTGGGCAGATAACAGTGAGAATTATGTCTTTCTCGTTCTGAAAAAGACAATAAATAGACATGACAACTCCAAAAATTTGGGCAATGATGAAAATTATCTAAACGGGAAGTTGGTTTCATTTCAAGTTATTCAAAGACTAGGTGAAAAGCTAATGAGGTGTTGCCAGATTTTGAGGGGTAATTATGACTTATTCAATGGACACAGCTAACGTATGCTACATTGAACTAAGACCGAGCATCCTATAGAGAATTTGGACCAAAAATATAACTTTGAGATCATGAAAGTTGATTAACAGAGAATGAAATGGCTGAATCCTTTTATTCAGCTTGATGTGCGAATCTCACCTCCATGACCTATGCTGCTGCTGCTGGCTATTGAAAAGGTAGAACCCTGTCCCGACTGCAGACCCCTGGATTGAGGAATGTGCCCATTTTGTGAGAATATTGAACCAACTGAAGCACTTGAACTGTTCATAGAAGACATTTGGGTTGAGAAGGTGTCTCTGCCAAATCCTGAAATGAGGTCGGGCCGCAAGTCTGATGACGAGGACGATGGAGCCAAAGTTGCATGTGTGGATCCCACAGGATAGGGAGCGACAGGCATATCAGTAAGAGAGGACGCAGATGTACTGTAACTCAATGTTCTCATCGGATGATCGAATTTGCATGACGGTCCGAATTTGCATACTCTATTTTGTGCATAATGAGAGCAAAGTGGTGCACCCTGAAAAATAATTGAAGAAACCTTAATAAAGATATGGCATAGTTCTCAAATATATGGAACATCCTAGAACACAGCAGAAAGGAATCGTTAAACTTCTATAATTGAATACAACAATAGAAGCATTTATGAACAGAAAAGAAATGTCACAGAGAGAAAATTAAGTGCAAAGAAGGAGTAACAAGAGAGAGTCAAAGAGATATTTTTGAGGTTTCTACATCAAAAGGGAGGCATAAAACTAGGAAACTATCAAGACATGCAGCAACATCATAGGGAGAAAGTTAGTCATTCAGTTCAATTTTATAGATAATATAAATCAGAAAATCGCAATCTACTTTTGCAGACATCATCAACTAATAAAGAAAGATAAGCCCATAGGACTAAGCCCATAAGCTTACCGGGCGCAAGGGCAGACCCATAGGACTAAGCCCAAAATTTGTCTTCGGTGCACTCCACTCTGGTGGATGATGATATTTACATGTAGAACCAAATTTACAACCCCCTGTCTTCAAATAATGTTGGCATTCTGGCTGGCCAGGTCTTTCTGGAAAAGCTTGCTCCTTCTGACTGCTGCCTGAAGGACCAGCAGAAGAGGTAATGGATAGATATGGTCCTGCATATGCAGCTGCTGAAGGAGATAACTGTGTTAAACCGTAAACTGGGCCTGCTCCAGCAGTTGGTTGAGCACTTGGGGAAGCCGCAGGACTAGCTGGTGCCTGCACCATGTAATTTTATAACTCAGAACAAAATAGGACATACAAAGGAATGATAATTGATAAGATTTTAAATTCATTTTGTCATTTAATTACTACCCACTACTGCCTAGGTCCAACCTAACAAACATATCAAAATAAAAGATTACGAAATCAAACAAACAGCTTCAGCAACATGTACCTGGTAAGGAGTCCAACCAGGAACAGGAACGACCCCTGGAGGAAGGAGCATTGGACTATATGCTCCCGGGACATATGAACCTGGAAGCATAGCTGGCCTAGCTACTGGCCAGTTGCCAGATTGCTGGGGAGATTGTATGGATAGCGATTGCATTGCAGGATACATTGCTGGTGCAGGAGCAGGTACAGCTGCTGGTGCAGGCAAAGGTCCCGGGCCAGTTGCTGGTGCAGGCACTTGCATTCCATCTGGCAGAGGATGATGATATTTACAGGTGGCCCCAAACTTGCATTGTCCTGTTTTAACATAATACGAACATTCTTTTTCACCCTGCAACAAGTGCACTATAAGACAACTGCATATTTCAAATCCAAATGAAACTGTAATGGTGAAAAAGAAAAGGATAAAAAACCGAAGTTGTCAAAGCGGCAGACCGGTCGCAATGGATATCCATAAAAATTCAGGGCCACTGAGCCTGAAAATCCAATTCCCTGTTTTGGATGGTGATACTTGCAGGAAGCACCAAATTTACACATTCCCGTTTTTATAAAGTACTACAAATTCAATGCAAAAAGTACAATTAGTACGAAAAGGCATAACTAATATAAATAAGTTACTGAATTCAAAATAAGACAAATTCAAACTCAACAAATAGGGTAGATAACTTATTTTACTATATATAGTATGGATAAATGCAATAACATTGTACTGATTTATGCAGATATAATGGCTTATTGCCAATCACTTAATAAACGTTCATAGTCAAAGCAGACTGATTATCATGGTAATATTTGTTAAAAATGAATAGCATCACCAATTTTTCTAACATTGTTAAGGAAATGGTGAACTCTACATTGTCAAGTGGATCCACGTAGGCTCCTGAAGAGGTCAGACTTCTAAAATGAATATAAAATTCCAGATAACAACCTTTTCGTGTAGATTAATCATGAAAAAGACAGTCGTGTGAAAGATGTAATAAAAAAATTGTGAATGTATTGTCATTGTAATATAGGTCCAAACTAACAATAACAAAATGAATCCTAATGAACATTAAAAAATAATCACTCTTCCAATAGAAACAACAAGGTGACTGATCCTACCTAAAGAATTTAACAGACTTTCTGTTCTCTGAGATGAAACGAAGGAATTGAAACCAAAAAAACATGGAAGAAAAGAAAACAGAATACCAATCAAAATGTCATACACAGTAAAACCTCTCTATAGTCATAATGTTGGGACCATATTAATTTATTACTATGAGGAAGTTATAGCTTAATAGAGGTGTAGTTACAAAAATTATAAAGGTAAAGTAAGAACTATGTTAATAATTAATTAAGAGCATGTCAAATCTAAGGTATAGACATTGATGAAAGAGTGATAATTGCAAGAACTAGTACATGTATATATGTAGAATATGTAAAGTCATTTAAACCTTAAATGTAACATAGCATATATTTTGTCTTAAAGAACTTAAGATAAATACTTTATTTCATCTTAAACATTTAGGCTATGTTTGTTTCGAATTAAAATTAGATTTTGATCCAAGTCAAAGTCAAACAATCAATATTAACCACATCTTTCATGGTCCCACAGCTTTTCAACCACACATTTCAAAAACTTCTATCACAATATACTAAAAATTTAATTTTAATCTCCACCAAACACCCACTTAATGTAGCCTAGCATATATTTTTGCTATATAGCGATAATTATTACTATGTGGATACAAGTTCCTTAAAATGGGACCTAGAATTTTATAACTTACTACAATGTGGAGCTTATTCTTATTTATAACTTGCCCAAGTTGGGACCAAGATTATTTTATATCACTATAGAGAGGTCTTACTGTAACATGAATTTATAAAATTTAATTGTGAGATTTTACAAGTTCATGGTATATGTAGATAACACAATCATATGGTGATCCAATACATGTCACCCAAGGAAAGATAAAGATGAAGATAATCAGCTAGCTGTGCCTTTCATCTGGGATGAAAAC